TATCTTGCTCCAATTCTCTGGTGTATCAATACTGGTTAATTATTACCCAGTAAGCCATCTTGACAATTAGGTATAGGTGTTTGGTTTAATAAAAACCTGGCCAGATTCTCATCAATATTGGATCAAGTATACATCTATAAATTCCTTGAATTTGTGGTGCAAGGAAGCATGTCTGAAAACAGAGAAAAAAAAATCACTAACTAGATATTAATACTTTCCTTCCACCATGAATCTATATTATAATATGAAATGTCTTTAATTAATTTTTATTAAAATGTAATTACATTTTAAATACTTGTTGGCATTTTTTCTTAAAATTGATTTTAAATATCTAATATCTCTTCTCCTAACTTTAAGGGAAAGAAAGTAACATCAATAAGATTTGCTCTATCTTCCTAGAGCTTAAAGAATGCACTGATCCATAAGTTTTGAAATATATTTTAAAATATATAAAATTACACAAAGGTCAGACATGAACTGTAACAGAAAAGAGATTGAGTAGTCACAAAGAATTTCAGTTTCTTTTATGTGGTAGTTGATAAGCAATAACAGAAGGTTTCCTTGGTGACTTATAGGACAGACAAAGCATATAAAGTGTAGATGAAAACAGTGGATCTTTTAAGCAGTCCAATTTTTAAATGCGGATATCTATTTTAAGAAACAAAGAAAGTACACTTTACCAAAGTGAAAACAAAAATCACAATTTTTGCTCTTGTACTTATTTAAAAGTGTGAGGGGAAAATAATCCATCAAAAACATGTACAGATTTCCAGTTTTTAAAATCACATGGAGAATTTTACTGAGAAAATGCTGATTTACTATAGTTTTGCCATAATTTGGGGGTCTGATATTATTTCCTGTGCATCAGAACCGTAATGGTTTTAACTATAGCAAATTTGCTCTCCTTCACTTTTCTGTGGCCTTTAAGATATATTTAAAGTTTTTGGGGCCGGCCTGGTGTCATAGCAGTTAAGTGCGCACATCCCACTTTGGCGGCCCAAGGTTCACGGGTTCGGATCCTGGGTGCAGACATGGCACCACTCATCAAGCCATGCTGTAGTGGGCGTCCAACATATAGAAAGTAGAGGAAGATGGGCACAGATGTTAGCTCAGGGCCAGTCTTCCTCAGAAAAAAGAGGAAGATCGGTAGCAGTTAGCTCAGGGCTAATCTTCCTCAAAAAAAAGAAAAAAAGATATATTTAAAGTTTTCAACTTCACTCTATCAATTTTACTGGTAATTATAGATTCATATAATAGTCACCACTTTATTATGGATCTAAATCCATAATTACTGTTTTGCACTGCATTAAATGCTTTACGCTTATTTTTTTACTTAACACTAAAAAAATCTATAAAGGTAAGTAATATAATTTTAGTTCTTTTACAGATAAGGAAAGTACATAGGGAACTGTTAAATGTTCTGACCAAAGTCATACAGGTCTGTATTTTTATTTTTTCAGGCTAGGAATATATGCTCCTTATTAGAACATAAATTGGGAACCTTTCCTAACTCCAATATCTGGCTTACACAACTTTTGTTAGTCTTGGTCATATACAAGTGAGATGCTCATTCAATTTGTTCAGATATGCAATTCAGACAAGAAAGGGTGAATGAAAATGACTTCATTTCAGGGAACTCATCAGCTCTGGGGCTCCATACTGGACAGCATAGGTCTACAAAAGTAAATAGACTATTGGAGGGATGGTAATTATGGAATCATAAATCTACGTGGGAAATTATTTCATTAATCCAGGGAAAGATGATGGTATTATGGACCAGAGTGGAAACAATAATGGTGTTAAAAGGCAATCAAATTCTGAATACATGTTTAAGCCACAGAAATTTGCTGTAGAATCGATTATAAAATTTGAGAAACGGTGAAATCAAGTATAACTCTAAATTTTTGTCTGGAGTTACTGGAATGCTAGAACTTCTCCTTTGCAAAACGGTGATGACTGTGGAGGGAGCAGGTTGAGGTGGTGGACAAAGAGTTCAGATCTGGATATGTGACGTAAGATTCCTGACAGATATCCATTCTGGATAGACAAGTCTGAGTTCAGAGAAGTCCACGCTGAAATGTAAATTGAGGATTCATTAACATATTTAAAGTCTTGAGATTGAATAAGACCATATGGATCAAATGGCAATGTAAGAGTCAAATTACTGATCTCTGGAGGAGAAACTAGCCAAGGAAATGGAAAAGGAAAAAGAACAAACAAAATAAAGTGATGTTATGGAAGCCAAGCGATACAACTGTTTCAAAGAACAGGTAGCTATTATATGTGATAAATGCTCATAATTCAAGTGAGATGAAGGCTGAAAATGAACTTCTAAATTTGACACTGTAAGTGTTATAGGTGATCTTGAGTTGTTTGGGCAGAGCAGTTGGACAAAAGTCTAATTGGAGTGATTCTGTGAGATAAGATGGGAAGTACAGACAGCTCTTTCACAGTGAGGTAATAGAGACAACAGAGAGATAATTTTTCAACGGATTTTATAGAAAAACGTGTAGTAGTTGGAAAGAGATAAACATATTGCAGCATATTTATATGCTGATATATAAAATACAATTGATTATGCATTAGGGTAAAACTCAATATCAGAGAAAAAACATATATCACTAATTGCATAATTAATCTTTCTTACATTTCAATGACAATTTCCAAAATCTTATATTCATTTTCTTTATCACCTTTATTTTCAGTTAATAGATAATATTTACAGTTTCTTCTCCAGGAAAATATAGGCTGCTAGCTTGTCTTTCACGTACAATTTTTAATATGATTGCACGTGTCTGTATATATGTGTTTATATATACATGCAAACAGATACATACACATCTGTTTACACGTGTACATGTGCACACATACACATATCTGTGTGTGTGTATATACATGTATACATACATACACATATATAGACATAGATATAGTCCCTATCATGAGACAAAATGAGAGGGCTGAACTAAATTATCTCTCAGTCCCCAGACTGCTTCTAAGGGACTATCATCCTTTCTTACAGCCTCTTTGAGACTGGCTTCATCCATTGGGAGCAGTTGTTTGGAGAGCTATTAGCTTATCTGCACTTGCTACTATGAACTACTGAAGGTGATCTCTTTATGATCCTTCTCACTGAAAAAAAAAAAATTGTTTAACACAATAATTCAAATTATTTACTGATTAACAACATAAAGAAGTTCCTTTTTCTCAATCTCAACCTGTTAGAAAATTTTGTTCCTTAGTCTATTTTTCCCTTAACAATTGCTGCCTTGTCTTTTTTCAGTTTTGCTGATCCATACCATACCTACTGAACTTGCAGCAGACAGATTTGTCTCATAAAAAGCAAAGAACCCTACATTATTATTTATTTTATGTTTAAATAAAGCTGATAACTGGAAATTCAGTCTCATTGACTATATACTGAATGGAAGATGAAAACGTTAGGATTTTACAATACAATTTGGACCACCATTCTAATTCTATTCAAATGAGCATTGTCTTAGGCCACTAAGAAAAGAGACTAGCAACATAAACCAAATTTGCTTTACAGTTTCCAGGCAGATGTACTCATAAATGCTTTTGAATTAACACAAAATGTTAGGAATCTATGGCCTATTTTCAAATAAGTCAATAAAGCACTTCTTTAAAGGCCAAGTATTTGTTTGTTTTTAACACCTGATTTTCTATACTGAATTCTATCAACAAACTTTCTAAGTAATTAATATGTGAAAATCAATTTATTAGATCTTGTAGGAGACAGAAGCATAAGTGGTCGATTGAGATATGATCATGTCTCTCAAGGAGCTTACAATTTAATGCTAAGGAAAGAAAAAGAAGAATAAAAAAACACATTCCCTAGAAACAATAATTATAATACAAGGAAAATGTGTAAGGGTATAAATCAAGTATAGACTACTGTATATATTTCTGTTGAAAAGTTACCAAGAGAATTATAAGCAGAGGGCTGTCCTAAACTTTAGAGGACCCGCACTTTTATTAAGTGAACATCTGGATATATGTTAGTTAACGTCAGCTCTTCTACACATGCAAAGATAATTCCTACTTCTTGTGCACCTATTATTTTAGAATTAAAAATGTCAGGGATATTATTTATTGCTTTTCTTAGATCTTTTATTTAAAAATTAACTTCACTTATTTCTTCTTTAATTATGTTCCTATAGTCAAAGTTAAATTATTTTTTTAATTCTTCATGGTTATATATTGATTATAGCTAGGCAATTATATCTTAAAAAGTCTTGACTGCGTTTTTTTTAAATACATTATTTATACTCATAATTATTATGTGCAACTTCTATTCACAGAATTACTATCACCCCTCTTTATTGCAACGCATTTCAATATTCTGAGTGGAGATTCATTGTACTTTCAAATTATACAAAATCTGAAATTTAAGTTTTGAGATTAGTCTTAGGAAGAAAAAAGGCCCTTTTAAGGTTATTTAGCTAAGTACTGATCCGTTTCTCCAGAGCCCTCCCAGGTATAGAGAAATAACAACATTGGATAAATGTTTATTACCTTCACTTAAAATCAATAGCAATAATAGATGTTTTCTTGAGCTTGAGGTATAGGAAAAAAGAGCACTACAGAAACTACCAGCTGCCATTTATGTAGTATACACAGAAGAGCTTGACAAAGTTGATAAAATTTTTATAATAATATAACTTCATACTCTATCATTATAATGGATTAATAGCAGCTTAAGTTTGTATAAAATAGAACCGTGACATTTCTTAATTAGCTAACTTTGTATGCTTTAAAGCCATTACATTTCAAAAATATTTTTGAGAGTCCAGATGTTTGTCATTGATATTTTAAAAAAAATAACAAGAAATAAATGTTATCTTCAAGCTGAAAACACAGACTTTTTAACATACTTAACTCTGGTGTCTAAAAAGACAAAATGTCATAGAAAAATAATCTTTCTACTTAAAAATATATACTATTAATGAAAATGTTGTTTTCCTAGAAACTTTTCCAACCTGGCTCCTATGGAGCTGCAGCATGCACATCCAGAGGAGAGGGAACATCAGGGTCTGGTGAGGCGGCCTCTTCGGTGCCTTCTTGAATTTTCCCCCCTTTTTAGCAGTGTTGAAAATAGGTCTGGAAAAGCATAGGAAAGCTATATCAAATTTTCCTTAGGAGGTTTTTTCCATACTGTTTTAGCAACGTTGCCTAGTGAAGGCATTATATGATATGACACTACGTATTCATTTTTACTGAGTCCTCCTATGTAAAATTAACAATATACTTGAGATACATATAATTACATTGTATCATTGTATTAACTCAAATCAGGCTATATTTGAAAATATACATGTGTGAGTCAGATCAGAAGCATCTTACAACTACACATATGCAAAAATGATTTCTAAGGAACACTGAACTATTTAGGATGGTACTGTTTCCATAAAATAAAATATGATGCTTCAGAATAATCTAAGACTTTTGAAGTGCTATCTTTGTAAGCTGGAAATCAAAAATATTTGAATATTATATGCTGTTATATAGTCTAGAAAAAATGAAATGCATTGTTTAATAAGGATAAATAAAAATTATTTCCATGTGCACTTCACAGTATAGTTTTATATATATATGTCATATAATTATATGTCAGTGTTTACCAAAAATGAAAATATCACTACTTACATTTCTAATTTTGAATGGAAAAGCAAGACTGTATGTTGGCAGATATATATCATCCTTAATTTGCTCAAATGATCAGTGTAATTAGTTACAATATAAAAAATATATTTTTACTTGATTTTTCCCCAGTATCGACTATCTAACATGCAGTAAAATTATTAATAATTTAGTTACAATTGTTTTATAAAATCCATAAAAATGCTATTAATGTGAGTATTGCCTTCAGGTTTAGTGAAAATGAACATAGTAACAAATACTTCAAGAAGAGAGGTTGCTAAAACAGTAAGCACTAATGGAAATGCTCTCAATGTTACCGGATTGTTTAAACTCATACAGACTTGGTTGGACATTACAGAACCAATATTATCTGAATACCTACATTACAACTGAAAGTAGATATAAAAGATACATGGTATCATTATTATTTACAGTGCTATTACATAAAAAACAGGTAATGAAGACTAAGTTTTATAATACTAGGGGCAAAGACAATATTAAAGCTATCGTTTTTACAGGACTTTTTTTAACCTATGTTTTCATGGATTGATGGTCCTTCAGGAAAAGACATTTGAATTTTGTGAATCCCTTATAGTACTTAATTTGTTAATACTTATTTCAATTTCATGTGTCTATCTAATTACTCATTCTTAAATTTATACCTTTATCTAAACTTCACTAATACTTGAAACACTGTAAAATAATATAAATACTATAAACTCATTTTTACAAATATTCCTATACTCACAATATGACTACAAGAGTTATACATACAGACAGTAAAATTATAGTTACTCAACATGTAGTTTGCTTAATAAAACATAAAATCAGTAGAAATATCTATTTCTGCTTGACATATTTTACATAATTATTCTAGAAATCTATATTTGGTCTTTTCAAAGCCACATTAAAACAGGAAAATATATTTCACATTTTGGAAGGGAAACTATTAATAACTTATTTTAGCATGAACAGTACAATATTCTGAGAAAAAATTAATCTGGGATTTAACAACAGAAACTTTTAAGGTGAAGGTGTTCACCAACATGATATTGCAGACATTTAAAGAAAATAATTTAACGCTGAACAATCAGAAAACCTGCTGAATTGAAAGTATGCTCAGAGACAGCTGGTTGTGACAAAAAGCCTACAAAATAGAAGTTGGGATGTCTTAAAGATCAGTTGTAACATAAGCAAATGAAATCCTTCCAATTTATCTACAAAACTAAGTTGACAAGAGTTCATGAAGGATTCAATGTTAAAATATATCTTTTAAGTTTGAAGATGTCAAAGTTAAAACATGCAATTACAGTAAAATTAGTTTGATTTTCATAAGTTTCTGGCCAACAGGTTGTCACTTTGCACAAGCAAGCAGAATTCCAAAGACTGAAAAGAGCAGACTGTGAAAGAAAAAAAAAAAAACAGGGAAAGGTTTGCTGCTGAACAAAAGCACAGTCCAAGAGAAACCTTTTTAAAGATGACAGACAAATCAGGCATATTATACAGGTGAAATCAGCAAAACCTCATTTTCCACAATTTAGCAGTTAAATATAGCGTTCACAAGCCGCAGGTGCTATAACAGGAGAAAAACGGTAAATTCCTTTTTCTCTTTGGAAGAGTATATCAAATGATTAGACAGATGTACATATATATATGTACTAGTTGATACTAGCAAAATTTTAAATATCAAATTATTTTAGCCAATTTAAGGCAGTATCTTATAAGAAACGGACTATAAAACTTCAGTTGAAAGGAAGGAAGGTGGAATTTTCTAAGGCTATTGGATACTTGGGTATTAAGATGAGTAAGCAAATTAAGAGAATGCTAGCAAGCTCATAAACACTGTTGATTAAAAACTTCACTACAGAATAAAATAAAGACTAATACAATTAGCTGGTTATTATAAGTGTTTTAAAGTTCCTAGTGAGTGTCTAGTTAGCTCACACGGTAATAGAGAACCAACAGAAGACAATGGGTAATGTTACACTGAGGAACCGAGACCACCCTGAACTTAACAGGGGCACACAGAATAATTCTGCATAGCAACAGGAACAGAGGAAAACAAGACAATAACCAAAAAAGGATTCTTTGGTGAAATAAATTTTGGAAAATCTGAGATAACGAACTTTAAATTTTGTGTGTGTATTTGTGTTGGATTGTTTATTTTTATAATTGAAAAATATTTCAGAGTCTTTAAATAAAATTCCACTTTAACTTAGGAATTCCTATCAAGAGTGGTATGCTATGTGACCCTATTTTTGGTGAAAAACGCCATGGGACATCTCCCTCCAGTGTACATTTTAAGGAACATTAGCCTGCAGTGAAAAATTCAATGTGTGACAACGGGAGTGGCTATGGTAGAAAAATGACAGAGTTTTCAGTTGAGTTGCCATTAAAAACACAAGGAGTCTCAGGGTAAATTTCCAAATCCAACTCAGTGCACATATTCTAAGTGCAGGGGAAAGAGGTGATCAAAGTGCCTGCTGATTTTGAGATGCTTTCAGGTGTAAATTGAACTAGGTCCTTAAGTCTGGGAGATGAAAGGACACTAATCCACATCTCCTCCTCCTGTCCCCATTAGCAGTCTACAGGTAGGGTGCAACACTACTCCTGGAACACTGGGACTTTCCTACTCCAGATGCTCCATCCTAGATAGATAACTCCAGTGCACTCTTGGTGAAGTAATGGCTTTTCTGACCTAAAAATAAAGCAAAACAAGCTCTAAGATTAAATTTCATTTAGTTGTATGGCATGATATTAAAGATATGCAAAACTTCCCAGAAAAGAAGAAATTAAATAAAAATATCTACATATCATTTTGGCAGAAGGTCAAAGTAACATGAAGCCATGATAGGATGACAAGCAGGAGGAAGGAGATGTTATTATCAGATGTTAGTTATTTTAAAAGACTGTTGAAAAAACTAACTAGGATATTTTCAGCTTCTGATAATGGCAGAATAGCTTACGTTGCACTAAGTCTTCTGCTAATAATAGGAGAAAACTCTGGAGAGGGAGGATGAAGAAACTGGAAGAGGCGAAGACTGGTAGAAGCTAAAGGAGATAAGAACCTTGAAAGAAAAGTGATCAGCCTGGAGGAGTCCCTCATTCTGGAAGACCTATCCACAGTGAGGACACTCTTCTGACTATAACGTAGGGTTTGGGGTGGCTGGAGGGGGAGAGGAAGAGCTGCAGTGTATTGCCCTCCTACTGAGGAACCAGAGGGTGGACTTTTCAGCTTTCAGAGCAGCTGGAAAGTGGGTTGGGGTGCGGCTGTGGAGAGCCAGAGAAGGAGAAGTCCAAAAGCTGCATGTACACACCCCTCAACACTTAGCTGACTCTAAAAGTGGTCCTGTGCTGGGCAAGACTAAAAACAGTCAGAGGGAAATAGCTGAAAGCCTGGAAGAGCTTAGTGGGGATTTGAGCAGCTGCGTGCCTCCAGGGAGGTAAGTTTGCAGTCAAGTCCCAACAAATTCGGAGCTTTGTAAAAACTGGCTTTCCATGGAAATACCAGTAAAGCTATGCATTGGGAACAAGGACCTTGCCTCCAGACTAAAAGACTGTCTCCACAACTAAATACAAAACCATAAGAGACTGAAATATCCCGAACAAAGCCTAAAAACAAGCCTCCAAAAAATGAAGGAGATCTATGAGTAATTTAACTGCCTGCTAGAAGAAAACTAAAGTTTTTAGAGAAAAATTACAATATCCTGTTTCTAAAATACATCATCAGTAATATCCAGTATACAATAAAAATTTACTGAACACATGAATAAACAGGAAAATGTGACCAGTATCAAGAGGAAAATCTGTGAATCAAACACAAATAGACAAACCAGATGTTGAACTTAGTGGAGAGGACAAATAGTTATGATAAATCTGTTAAAGAATCTACAAGAAAAGATGACTATAATGAATGAGGATATAAAGAATTTCAGGAAAGACATAAAAACTGCAAAACAAAGCAAAGCAACCAAGAAGAAATTCTGGAACTGAACAATACAACAGCTGAAATAAAAAAGCCATTGGATGATATTAAAAGCACACTGGACAAAACAGAAAAAAGAATCAGTGAACCTCAAACACAGGTTAATAGAAATCACCCACACTGAAGTATAAAGAGAAAAAAAAAGATTGAAAAAAAAATGGAATAGAACCTCAGTAACCTGAGGCCAGTAAGAAGACGACTTGCACATGGTTTTGGAGCCCCAGATAGAAAGGAGAGAGAGACTGGGGCAGAAATATTATTTGAAAAAGACGACAAAAATTTTTCTAAATTTCACCACAGAGAAACCCACAGATTCAGAAAGCTCAGCAAATTCCAGGAAAAACAAATAAAAAGAAAACTATTGCTTCTTTTTTAAATTATGAACTTAGGAGATTTTAATTACAGACATCATGTGTTTGTTATGAAACCAAACTGAAAACAAATATATAAAGTATTTTATAAATGGTCACAAAAG